GATCAATTGACTGAAAATTTTTTTACTTATCAGTACTTTTCCATTGGGTGTATGTAATTTCATATACTTCATGGTCCTTGAGTAATAATTCTAATTTATTTATAATATTCTCAGCTCCTGGACACTTAGTACACTCAGAAAAGTAACACCATGATGCAGACTCTTGGCAAACAGAGCTTTTAATTAAGTCGCGAGAGCTTTCTGGAAAAATTATTCCCTTTGTTTTAATTAATTTTTAAATCCAGTTATTTTCAATTTATAATTTTTTTTCGTCAGGATAAGCGTCAGTAAATTTTTTGTGTATTTCATGAACAATATATAATAATAATCGTTTGTGTTTCTGGATTTTCTACTCGTTCTCAATTACCGAAACATAATCCTTCATACCAGGCATTACGCGGCTGACGTCATCTGATAGATAGAAAGCTTCAATACGATCGAGGGTTTCAGTGTTTAAAGATTTTCCTTTTTTACTTTTAGCTTGCGATGCGAACCCTCGTTCTTGTCTTAGTTTTTTGCTGTTGTCGCCATGCGTTTGGAAACTTTAAACTCTCTTATCATTTTCATCGAACAATCTGTAGAGACCTGAATTTTAGCTTTAAAAGCAGATTTAAAGTTATTAAGCAAATGCTCTTTTTTTATTTCATTACTTATATTGTTAATATTATCTGTAAATTTCCTCACAACATTTGTTAAAACTTTTTGACATTCTTTATCACTCGAGACTATCTTGATTATGATTGGAAGTTCACCAATTTCCGTTAATAATTTTTTTACCTTATAAATTTTTAATTTGTTATCTACCGGTTTGCATTGAAAAGTGGGATCATTTTCTTCGTCATATTCCATCACTCGACTCTTCAGGATTGTTGACTTCAGGACATGCATTCACTTATAATTCATCAAGAATTTCTGGTTTTCGACCAAAATAAATTGTCCGTTAAGCATGTATATAGATTTTATGAAGATTTTAAATATATAAAGCGTGGACAATAGAACTTAATTTTAATCACCTAGCCTTAGATTCAGCGAGCCGAAGGTCCTGGCAGCCAGTGCTCCTTTTTTTCGTGTAAATAAAATAATTGTATTATTTTTTTTTTCACATTTATAGATAAATAAATAAAATTGTCCGTTCACATGAATTGCACATACAATTGCCAACCACAACTATTTATTTACTGATATTGGTTATAACAGGTTATATACAGTCTCATCCGAGACTGTTGAAAATTTTTCATTGGGGGTGTTTTTTACGTGGCGGCTCCCAAACCCAGAATACCACCCTATGTAGGGTAGGCCTTCAAACGGATGTTCTTAGGCTACCCCGAGGATACTTGGTGCAAAACCGGAAGTTTCTGGCCACTCCCAAGTGAATGGCGATCAGAGAACTTTCCTGACTTGCGTGAACTTCTACACATGACTCCATCCTCTATCTGTAGTACTAGATTCCAGCATAAGAAGATACATCAAGTTACCTGGCTGTCTCCGGATCGAAAAACCACCCACCAGATCGATCACGTTGTGATAGACGGAAGACACGTCTCCAGTGTTTTAGATGTACGTGCGCTCTGAGGTCGACTCGGACCACTATCTTGTTGCAGCCAAGATTCGCACCCGCCTCAGTGCAGCGAAAAACGCACCCCAGCAAACACAAGGAAAGTTCGACGTCGAGAAGATGCAATCACAACAGACAGCCGAACGATTTTCTACCCGGCTTGCTTTCCTGCTCTCTGCGAGCACCCGTCAACAACTCGGTATAAGGGAACTGTGGGACGGCATTTCAAACTCCTTACGTGCAGCTGCAACCGAAACCATTAGTTTTCGGAAAGTGCAAAAGAACAGCTGGTACGAAGAGGAGTGCCGCGTCCAGCGGAGAGAAAACAGGCTGCCTACTTCGCAAAGTTAGGGGGCCGACAGGGGTAATGCTCGAAAATTCTACGAAAAAATGCGACGGCTTACAGAAGGTTTCAAGACCGGAGTATACTCTTGTAGAACCCCCAAAGGTGATATAGTCATCGATGCCCAGATCATATATAAATCGTGGAGGGAACACTTCTCCAGCCTGCTGAATGGCAGTGAACGCACAACGCCAGGAGAGGGCGAACCCGATTCCCCAAACGATGATGACGGAGCAGACGTTCCATTGCCCGACCAGGAAGAAGTTCGAATAGCAATTACCCACATGAAGAACAATCAAACACGGCGGCGAAGAACTGATTAGATCAGTAGCATGCATCAGCTTCTTTGTAAAATATGGTCCAACGAAAGCATGCCCAACGATTGGAATTTAAGTGTGCTATGCCCGTTCGTCAAAAAAGGAGACCCCACAATCTGCGCCAACCACCGTGGGATAAGCCTCCTCGATATCGCATATAAGGTTCTATCGAGCGTATTGTGTGAAAGATTAAAGCCCACCGTCAACAAACGGATTGATCCTTATCAGTGTAGCTTCAGACCTGGAAAATCAACAGCCGACGAGATATTCACTATGCGCCAAACCTTGGAAAAGACCCGTGAAAGGAGAATCGACACTCAGCACCTCTTCGTCGATTTCAAAGCTTTCGACAGCACGAAAAGGAGCTGCCTTAAACCGCGATATCTGAATTTGGTATCCCTGCAAAACTTATACGGCTGTGTAAGCTAACGTTGAGCAGCACCAAACAAAAGAAGAAACGACTGGCGCGCTGTTGTCAACTCGGCTATAATCGCGTAAGCGGTGTCTAATTAAGAAGAAGAGGTTTATAAACAGTTTAATAAAATGGACTGACATGGTTCATTGATCTTTTGTTTTCCGCGTATACGCAAATTAATAACAAATGAATAAAATAACTAAACGCTATTTTTTGCCAGCGTTGGGTAAGCCAATGATACGGTATAGCTGCCGGTATAGCGCGCTGAATTTTTTTTTGCTTAATCAAATTGCGATCAGTCAAATTTTTTCGCGGATTTCGTTACTTGAATGTTTATTTTAATGTGTTATTTTTTGAGGGAAAAGTCATTAAAATATTCATTTGTAAACTTAAAAGTTAATAAACAATATGAAAAAAGCAAAATAAATAAAATTCATGCATATTTTCTGAAATTACAAATATTTAACTATCGGGTGATTTTTTAAGAGCTTGATAACTTTTTTAAAAAAAAAAACGCATAAAATTTGCAAAATCTCATCGGTTCTTTATTTGAAACGTTAGATTGGTTCATGACATTTACTTTTTGAAGATAATTTCATTTAAAT